TGAATGTTTTACATCTGTTTTTTTGTTTAATTTAGCTTCATATTATATTATGTGCGTTATTGCTTTTTAATGTGGATGCATGATATTGGAGTTTTGGCCAATATCTGGTATGGTGATATTTTAAAATTCTACTGGCCGATAACTGATTGCCATTGCAAAAAAATAAATAAATAAACTAGCATGGGAAGTGCTGAAGGGCTGCACTTTTTAAAAAGTGATGACACTCACTGCAGTTTATGGCATGCATAGTGCAAGAAAATAATACTTCTAAGCCAAACAAGCAACTTTTGTAGCACCACATTTTTCTTAAGGCTAAAGTGAGTTGAAATTAGAAGAGCCTCACATTCACGGCTTCAACTCCCACGTTCACCCATTGGCATTAATGAGAATGTAAAAAATTACAACAGTTAATAAGGTAGGACCAAACAGAGGAAGAGGAGGGAGTTAGCTGAAGAAGCTGGTATTTGTGCAGCTGTTACTTTGGGATGCTAACCCACATGGAGAGCTATGCTACATAGAGCTCAATTTTCTGAGGCTGTTAATTCAATTCAATTCAATTTATTTCTATAGCGCCAATTCACAACACAAGTCATCCCAAGGCACTTTACAGTTCAACCAAATCATACAGGCAAATTGATTCAAAGTTTTCTATCTAAGGAAAACCTGTTGATTGCAATGACTCATTGACTCAAATACAATCCTTCACACTAAGCATGCTTGTAGCGACAGTGGAGAGGAAAACTCCCTTTTAACAGGAAGAAACCTTCAGCAGAACCAGGCTCAGTGTGAGCGGCCATTTGCCGAGGCCGACTGGGGTTCAAGGAGACAGAAGCAGAGATACAAAAAGCAGCTGCAAAAGGTGGCCCCGTCCAGGAAACACACAGCCACGCCGACGAGCACCGAGCCCGCTCCCATGTCAGAGGACGATGAGAGCACATCCGGATGCATTAACGGTTGGCATCCGGATCAAAACACTTTCTCAACTATATTAGAACAATGTGTCACAACAACTGGAAGATGCTTTACTGTCTCTTTAAACAGTCATTCATTATCTTTCTATTTGATTTGTGTTTTCACGTTAGCTTCTGCTAAAGATGTTAGCTCTAGCTAATTTAGTGAATGGTTGATCACAAGCTGATCAAGTTTGTTTTAACAAATATGTATGACATATCTAACAGCTCCTGAAAACCTTGAGGCGTTGACGCTATGTGGCATTGTCTAAACTTACACTAGTCAAATGCATTTCAACAAAAAACAACTTTTTTAATGTTAGCCCTCCAGGAAGGCCCTTCCTGTGTTTACGCTGTAGGTTACAGTCCACTAGGATCTAATTTTGTCATCAATCTGCATTGCGCAGGTGAAAAAATTGCAACCCCATGGGTGAAAAAATAACAATTTATGATAACTAACTATAGATAATTAACTATGTAACTGAGTTTTTTACGTATCCTCCCAATTTTCATATTTATATGAATATTACAAGTTATATAAGCCAATATGTGGATCCCTTCATAGGTGTACTTTTACTCCTTCATGAAACCTTCTAATCAGAATGAAACTTCAGTGCGTTTTAATCTGTCTTTTCTTTTAAATTAGACGTTCAAAAGCAGCATTTGGTATGAGGTAGTGAAACTTTCTGTTTAAAAATTGATAATTACGTATAATTTTCAGTTTTCTATATAGAACATTACATTAACGTTACATTAGTTGCATTCTATAAGCTTTATCATGATCAAAACAGAGCGACTATGACAAAAGCTGTACATGTATCCGTACATTGCCTTGCACGTAATAAAGGATTCCAATATGCATGTGTTTGTTTGCACAGACCGCAGCACTGAATCAACATTATCCCAGCTGCACAGGGATGTTACATCACTCCGCAGTCAGATCCATAAAGGGCTAAGAGCCAATTCATTTTGAGAAAACACCCCCTATTGATCCATGCTGCTTTCCATCACTTCCACTGTAACAGTTACCTCAATCTATAGGCACACCTGACACATAATCTGTGTGTGTGTCTTTGCAAGACAGCCCGTGTGTGTATTTACATAACAGGACACCATTAGGAAAATGTTAGAGAAGTCAAATTAACTGCTGGGAAGCTTTGTTTAGATAGATTTTTGGTGCATGTGTTTGATGCATTAATGCCACGGGGTTGCTTTCTTACTCTAAACTGGGTTGCTAGCAGCCCCTAGTGGCCCCCAAATAGTCCACAGCAGATTAGTTGCATGTTTCCTTACATGAAAATTGCTCATGTCATCAATTTTTTAATATTTCAATGCCAGAACACACTGATTACAATGCGTCCCTTTCATAAATTATAACCCAGAAATGGCTGTAAAAACTCATATTGCATACATACATATGGATAAACCCATCGAAAATAGCTTTACTAACTTGGAGCGGCTTAGAAAAAACAATTTGAAAATCTGAAGCTTCATCTAGCACTGGAGAATCCATTATATTTTAAACATTCATGCTGAAATAACAAAGCATCCATCAACCTCTGCGTTGCCTGGGGTACAGTGAGCCATTTAGGGATGGAGAGCAAGATTCTCTGGGTATGGTGCTCATTCTACTGCTGCCTGATTTTTCTCATGGAAGGTAAAAGCATGGAGGGTTGATAAATACAGCAGACGTAACGAATGAGGCTTTTATACATATGCTGCAAACACAGAGAATAAGAGGCCATTCAGAAGACAGCTTTCCAATCAGCCCCTTCTCTCTCTGCTGTCTGCAGTGCCATTTGAAGGCATCTCACTAAGAAATGAGGCATTTGTTTTACTAATAAAGATGCAGGTAAATACTGGGGTGGAAAGCCCAGAAATCAAGTTGAAGAAAGGAAAGGAAACAAGCACAAAATGGCCAAAAGATGGATGTAAAGGAAGAGGGTTATTCATATGGTATAGCTGCAGTAGTGTCGCCTTAGTAACACATACAGAAGGTCCCCCCCCCCACCCCACCCCCCACCTGCCACTTAGAAAACCACCGCACATCCACCGCCCCAAAAACGCATCCCTTCTCCTGTAGTAACCCGGCCCCCGTCATGTGGGGACTGTGTGAGCTGCGTTGCCATGGAAACTGAACACCCCATAGCAGTCCTTAGAGGTAAGATGTGGAGCAGCGTTACCTCTCCACTTTCACCTCCCAGTTGGCTTTTCTTATCAACAGGGTAACAGCAAAGCTGAAATTGTTGTGCAGAAATTGACTCAAGTATTTCAGTGATAATCACATATCAATGAGGAATAAAGAAGCGACTATTAGGACTAAGACTGACCCCATGGGGACATACATTTAAAGTGCAAGTTCTTTGCTACATAAAATGACCTAAATGACAAACCAGAGGCAAACACTGACTGAAAAATACTTAATAAAGAGGATGCAAAGTCCCCCTTGATAGAAAAACCATTCAGAAGCAAAAGGGACAAAAAAAGCACAAAAAAAAGATGCCACATTCGACAATACATGGTCACAAGCAATCACATTGTACCTTTGGGGCGTTTTTTTCCTTAATAATCTTCACTTGTGGTGAAGAAGTAGTACCAAAATAGACATGCTAGTCTTCACAGAAGCTCTAACTTAAGAATAAAAGTTATTTTTTCTTGCACACATATAAAAACTGATACAAGTTAATGCTTCTAATACTTAACAATACAAAAACCCACACAGACCATGCTTGAAGATTGTCTCAAAGGAGCCAGTGGTAGACATATTGACAATAAGGTTCTGCTTTCGAGAACATGCATTGCTATTGCCAATAACGCAATCGAAATTCCAGTTGAATCATGCGTCACTACTCTGAGAAAAAAAGATGATAATGAAAGATATTGAATAGGCTGAAGAAAAAGAGACCGACGAGTGGCTTTTCACACAGAAACGCTATAACAGATTGAGTCGAGAGGAGGGGCAGTGTGGTGGGAATGAGTGCGGTTGAAGAGATAAGGAGCTGCGGCAATTGGGTGAGGGTGGTGGTGGTGGCGCCGGGGAAAGGAGGGGGTTTTTCTCCTGGTCTTCAGCTGGAAGACATGTGTGCCTGCAGCAGTGATAGCTACAGCGTCACCAAAAGACTTTATTACAGCGCTACGCGGAAGATCACAGCAAGTTTAAACACACTTATGTTCGCAATCCAAGGAAAGTTTCATACATTGCGATTTGATTGTTGTTATATTTGGCTAAGGTTAATGTGCGTTGCAGAGTCTTTTTTTCATCGGTGTTTGCTGGCTTAAAGATTGGTTTGCATGTAATATGGATGGAGATGCCTTTGAAAATGAATAAAATACCCTATATTACACCTTAAGCACTCTTTTTGGTGTCACTGAAAAAGTTGCCAAAAACAAAAGTCGGAACGCACCAACGATTGATTACCGGCTGAAGGAAATAAGAATGCATAGATTGCCGGTAGCTAATAGGAATACCTCTAGGTAATGCTCATCAGTTAATGTTCAATGGACCCTGCTTGGCCTTACAAATGTGACTCAAGACAGGCAAAGTATATTGAAAGCATGACGGACGTCCAATCTCCCTCTGAGAAGGTGTTAAGCAGGATGAAAATAAGGCAATACCAGGGGGTCTTTCCATGGACTGCATCAATAATGATGCATCTTAATTCTGCAAATTTCGTATCAAGGTGACCCTCTTTGGCAGTAGGATATGCCGAAAGTATGGTAAGTATCAATGGCAAATTTTTTATCTAAACCTCAAAGTTCTCCATTCACCTAAGGTTTGGCTGCCTACAGACCTCTTCAGAATATAACACTGACCTTGAGTCAGCAGTTAGAGCTCTCAGACAATTCTGTTCTGGAGACAATGGTTCATGACCAGCTGCCAACCTCGTTTTCACATCTACGTCATTTTGATGGTTTAGGCAAAGGCCAGTACCTATCCTGAGGTAGACCGAATGCAGATAGATCATTTCAACTAGATACTCAACCAACAGAAAAGAAGTTGGACTACACTTCTTTCTTACTACCATTCTTGCCAGCCCATCCACGTCTTACCTTGTTACGTTTGGCTCCTCGCAGAGGAAAGAAACAGGCGAAGAGGAACTTGCCCCAGCTAATGACAGCAGCCAGGCACCAGTTGAGGCGAGCCATGCCTGTGTGTGTCCCGTCTTGTCTGCCAGCCTTCTTATCTCTTACTCCTGGCACTGGGATAGGATCCTGCAACCGTCCTCACCACCAGGAAAAGACCAGGCAAAAGACAGAAGATCCCCTCGTCCAAGTCCCTGATGCAAATATGTGTCTGAGTCAGACAGTGATTGAGGACTGATGTTCCTTTCAGGAGTTTTTGTCAATTTTGTGGTTTCTGGCTGTATGAAATTCCAAATTGAAAGCAAACAAGGTGGAGGGGGGCTACCAGCATTCCCTGAAACAGACTAGACCTTTGAGCAGTCTAGGAGGACCTGAAGCTTTTTTTTTAAGCTATAAAATGTCTCCCTGTCTGTTCATCCATTCGTTTTCACAGCCTGGTCTGGATGAGTCAGTCCTCAAAATGTGATCAGTACCGTCGGCTGCATAATACAAAGAGCCCGCTGCTGATCGACGACACTGTTACACCTACACTGGCATACCCTCACTCACTTTTTTCCCCCCAACCTCACACGCACATACACTCGCCTGCATGTAACGCTGTCCTGGCAAATGTGTTCGCAGGCAGAAGAGCCAATCCCCCCAACCAACCCACCCACCCATTCCCACCCCTTCCTCCTGTCTCATCACACGGCTACCCTCCAGGCTCAGGATCGCCGGTGCTTCTCGTTCATTCACACACTCCGTTTACACACACTCGTACATCTCTTTCGCTCTATCCTAATCTGTAACACGCGTACACACACTCTCACACACATACATGCGGTGATGCTGCAGCATTTACTCAGTCAGGGAAGGGAGGAGGGGAGCAAAAGAGTCAGGAGGGGTGGCTGAGTGTGTGTGTGTTGGGGGGGGGGGTGTAATGGGGAACAAGAAAAAAAAATGGATTACAGAAGGCGTTGTTGCATTTTCATATCTGGAGTTAATAAAATTATGACACAAACCAAAGTGTGAATCAAGTAACAATGAAAAGCTTGGAGAACGGATCACAAGAGCAGAAATGGATGAACGCTAAACGACAGGAAAGGAGGGGTGGTGACAAAACGGAAAGCAGCAGGTCGCTGTAGAGAAGCAGGAGAAAACTCAGCGCACACACAAAAAAACAGAGGGATGAAAGGCTGCTGTCTCGGTGCAACGTTGATGTGATGCAGGCGCAGGTTGGTGACTGGTCTGTGAGGAGAACTGGGTCGCAGAGAGGAGGAGAGGAAGAAAGGATCCAAGGAGAGGGGCAGGGTGTTGAATCATTGTGTCTTGGGTGATTATTTCCCACTATCTCTCTCTTTCTCTCTCTCAGTTTCTCACACACACGACTGCAGGTGGTGCACAACCTCATTCACTCTGCTGCAGTCTCTCTACGCTTCAGTGGGAGCACAATCCCACTGCAGAGCACTTTTCTTTTCTACACCCCATTCCCACCCCCCTGCCCATCCAATCTCCAAACCCCCTTTCCATGCAGCACACCACTACCATGCAAACGCAATCACAACACATCAAAGCAAGTGAAGGAGATATAGCGTACAGAGGACGCTATTTTGTCAACCAAAGCTGACTTATCCTACAGGGATGGAAATTGACGTGCATACCAAAATGGGCACAATGGTACAAGAAAACCCCTGTGTCTCTTTGGAGAATAACATTATCGTTCACCGTTCTACCCTTATAGCTAGAAATACTGCAACCTTTTTTTATTCAGAAGCCCATCAATGACTAAATATAGTTTAGTCTGAGACACATCCGTGAATCAGTGGTAGCTTTGCAAGAGTTGTAGGGAACCAAAGCTCAGATATGAGAGTCATTTAACAAGATAATTGTGAGTTGTGCAAATCTACCTATATGGAGGGTCAGCAAAATAAACGCAGCTGAAATAATCCTTTAACATGCAGCATTTTCCATTTGGTCCTGAGTATTTTTTTTTGAAGCTGAAAGCTAACAGTACACATAACTGGGATAACAACATCCCCACACTAAAACATGTTGGTCTTATGAAGTCAGAATTCTTTAAAAAAAAAAAGGGCACATGTGTAATAGACACTATTACAAGCACTTTTATTTCAACACAAACAAAAACTCTTCAGGGTCATTTTGAACATTTTATCTGTGCATGTTCAATATCATGACTGTCAGGAATCCAGTTTGTGTGGTCTGTTTTTGTGTTTCCTTCCCTCCTCCGCCAGGTGGTGCCCTGTCCTCATTGGGTCTCCCTGCACACCTGCAGCTCATTGCCTCATTATCTGTGGAGTGTTCTTAAGCTGCTGACTGCCACTACCTCGAGGCCAGAGTGTTTTGTCAATACAGGGTACTCTAGCCATGCTTAGTTTAGCAGAGTCTAACCTGAATCTTTGTTTTGCCAATACAGGGTACTCTAGCCACGCTTAGTTTAGCAGAGTCTAACCTGAATCTTTGTTTTGCCAATACTGGGCAATCTAGCCATGCTTAGCTTAGCAGAGTCTAACCTGAGTTTTTGTTTGCCAGTTTTTGGTACTCTAGCCAAGCTGAGTTTTCATTGAGTAAGACTGAGTTTTTGTCTCCCTGAGATTTAACTTTGTTTTTGTCTTTGCCTCTCGGCTGGATTTGTTCGGACCTTCTCTCTCTGGAAGGTTCAACTGAGCTTCTAACTAAGCTGGGGTTCCAAACAGGAAGTTTGGATCCATTTTCCCCAAGAGGTCGTTTGAGCTTCACGCCGAGCAAATGTTTCATCTGCACCGCAGCCCGTTCAACTACCGCAGGAAATCAGAGTGGCAGTCAGCTTCTCCGTTCACTCCAAACAGGAAGTTTGGATCCACTTTCCCCAAGAGGTCGTTTGAGCTTCACGCCGAGCAAAGGTTCCATCTGTACCACAGCCCGTTCAAGTCCCGCAGGAAATCTGAGTTGCAGTCAGCTTCTCAGTTCATCTAGGAACAACCGCAGTCTCAGTAAACCCCGTCCGCCCAATACCAAACAAGACAATCACTGGAACCTTCCCTCACAGACTGAATTCCATAAAGGACACCTTTTCCTGGAGAAGTGAGTCTGCAACCTTTTCCTCCAATTCAAAACCAAATATTCAAATGTTCTTGTTTTGATTAGGCCTCAAAATGATTCAATTAAAATCCAAATACACATAATAATAAAATTAAAAAAAGTCAAAATCATTTCCCAAAATATTCATAATAAATTTATAAATTGTACAAAGTATTTTTATTTCTTTTTTCCTTTCTCCTTCTCTCCACTTCCTGTGGCCATGGCTCTACGTGCCTATGGGAATCCTACCTAGTCTGGCAAATAGTTTACTGCTGTATAAAATGACCCTTTGTAATTAAAGAGCAGCATATTTCTCTTCAGTAATATTTATCTGGCAGATTTCAGTTTGTTCTCATTAATGATAAATCATCCTCATGCTCCAGGGTTACCTTTAGAGTACCACAGGGATCAGTGCTAGGGCCAATTCTCTTTACTATATATATGGTACCAAATGGTAGAATTTTTAGATGGTATAACCAATTTCCAATTTGTTATACTGAAGATGTTCAGCTATATCTATCTATAAATCCAGATTAAACTAACCTATTACATAGACTACAGGCATTTCTTGAAGACATACAAACCTTGATGACTCTTAACTTTCTGCTTCTGAATGCAGACAAAACAGAAGTTATTATCTTTGGACCAGAGTCTTTGAAAAAGAAGCATTTCATTTGGATGAGATTAAATTGATTTCAAATTAAAAATATATATTTTTATGTTTGACCAGGACCTGTCTTTTAAATCCCATACCAAAATTCTCTCTGGATTATTGCAAAACTTAGAAATATATTGTCCAGGGGTGATGCAGAGAAACTAGTCAATGCAAGTGTTACCTCAAGGTGGGACTATTGTAATTCTTTAGCATTAGGAAGTCCATAAACTGCAGTTAACAGATCCAAAATGCTGCTGTCAAACTGACCCAATATCAGGCAGTGGGTTTGATGACAGAGTATCTACTTATCTTTGCCAAACACTCAAGGACAGTGCATGAATCAAAATTGAAATATATCTCTTAAATAGGTATTATGCAAACGAAACCTTCTTTATTTTCCATTTTCATCTGTGCAGTTTCTCTCTCCAGGAAAAACGGATGAGGCGCATGTACTTCCCAGCGTGAGGCTGGCCGTGTGTTCCATTCTTGGCAATGTGCTGACCTTACCCATTAGGCATAAGCAACTTGCATAATCACTGCTGACTTCTATTGACTGGCTTGTCGCGCTGGCTCTGCCTTTGACTGGGATGCCTGCAAAAAAGGGCAAGCTGAAATTCAATCTGAGTGACTTTTTGCTGTCATCTTTCAAAAAGTATGATTTTTTTTTTAACCAATTGCAGAAATCAGGGCTGTTGTTCTGTTTGTTAATAATTGGACTTTATTGATCTCACAATGGAGAAATTTACCTCTGCAGTGAGCTGCCACTGTGCGGTGTCTGGGGAGCAATTTGGGGTTAAGGGTGTTGCTCAGGAATCCAGAGTAGAGGCTGTGGGGATTGAACCCAGGTACTTGCAACCTTTTCAGGCTATAAGCACACTGCTCAAACCCCCTAGGCCAAAACTCCCCTACTTGTTGGTCAATGCAATGCTACCTCTTATTTTATACAACGCCATTCTCCTAATATTGTTGCTTGTGTTTTTTCATTGTGTTCTCCTTCATCTCCATTTGATTTAGATGGAGGACTGTACACAGGGCCCAAAAATATCAAGGACAGGACCTCGGTTTCCTCAATGGTAGTTCCGGCCCTGGGTACATATAACAATAAGGAAAGCAATAAAGGTCTCTCATATCTAGTAGCCATGGTAGAATACTAATAATGCCAAGCTAGCTCATCTTTGTAGTATTTTTTTTTAGCAACATTAGAGCATTTACACAAATGAGTAGAAAATCTATCAAATTATCTCACGTACATGGGTACAGACCTTTGACTAAGTCATTTTAACATTATGGAGTTTGGAAAATTATGACATTTTCAAACTTCTTTATTTAAAAAAAAAATTTGTGAGTCATTTTGTAGTTTTCTCTGATTTTTTTCCCTTTTTTCATATATATTTTTTTCCAAATAGCTTTTTTCGTATTTGATTTTTTTGACGTTTTTCTTTTTTTTTTTTTTTACAGATTTTATATTTTTAAAATGTGTATTTTTGTTAAATTTTTGTGTTCTAAGTGTATCTTGCAGTTCTTGCAACTGATGGGGAGTGTGGTCAGGGCATTGGGCTTGGAATCCAGAGGTTTTGAGTTCAAGCCCCACTCCCATGAACTGATACCCTGGCTACCTGAACAGGACCCTTAACCCCACACTGCTCCCTGGGCACCGCACAATGGCAGCCCACTGCTCCCCAAGGGGGTTGGTTAAATGCAGAGAATTCATTTCATCGATCTGTACAGGACACAGGACAATAAAAAAACAATAATAAAAAAAAAGGCATCAGCCAAACACAAGCAGTTGCTTGCAAACGAAAACACCATCACAAAGCAGACGCTAAGAGACAAGGGCCGGTAAATGGGGCAAAAAAAAAAAAACGAAATAAAATGAAACAAAATCAAATAATTAAAAAAT